TAGAAAACTATATGAAGCAAATATTCAAACCAGTTTGTTAAGGATATGTAAGTGAGAACCAAGAGTTTTCACTGTTTGGATTTATTGCCCAAAAAGTGCTGCATATTTCATTCCCTCCGTTACCGACATGAGTTTTAAAAATTTTTGTCAACAACTTGAAAGAATATCACAGGTTTAACTTGACCCTGTTGGAGTGTAACTCTTTCCTACATTCTGATACTTTACTTATTTCAATAGTTCCTCTAGTTTCTGAATAAGAGATATTTGAATGTAAAAAATCTGCCCCTGTTTCCCTCCGTTACCACTTGACCGGACCCATATACTGTATTGATAAAGGAGTATGTACTGACTTAAATCTTAAAGAGCCGAAGCTTTACTCCGCCCCTAAGCAAAATCTGAAAAATACTCCAGAGTGGGTGGTGTCTGGCGGGTTGGGAGGAGCGGGTGGAACTCTGCTCAATTTAATTTCTCTCCAGCGACTAGGTCAGGAATTGGAATACACTAGACGGTTTGCAAGAACCCTGGAAGTTGTAGACCGCGCACGAGCGGCGAAGAGCTGTGAAGCCATGATGTCAAACTTGTCACGTCTGTCTGTGTCCATTTTGTGGAACAGCACAACAGTAAACAAAGCGTCGAGATGGATGTAGATGAAAACAGACATTCTGTGTTGGCAACGATTCCCAAGATCGAGGATTTAAAGCTGGAACAAAGAGAATGTTTGGTGAATTTCATCAAGGGGAAACACGTTATTGTCCTTCTTCCTACGGGATTTGGTGCATTACAAACGTCACGACCAAATAGCAGAGATTGGTTAAATAAAAAAGTACCCGCCTTCCGTCGAGCAAACGAATCCTATCCACGAAGTGAAACCGGCTGATGAATCAGGCTAGTGTGGGGCGGGCTCTGGAACAATGACTGACAGCCGACCGACAGCCACAACAATCCAACACGGCTTGGACCGGTGCGCTCCGGACTTTGAAACAGAGCGGACATTTGTGTTCAGATCCCTTTCCTCCAGACATAGTGGGACATTATGGTGACCGGCACATGTGTGCATGATCTTGTGGAAATTTCATCTCGTGAGTTCTTGTGCACAAGATCTTGTTCCATCCCTCGTAATTATTGTGACAACCCTCCCGATCCCTAATACAGGCCTACATACAATAGTTTATCTATAGTAAAACATGATCACATTGTGGTTGGACAATAAACATAAAAATCTGATCAAACTGCAACTACTCTGAGATCTATAATCATAATTTAAACTGTTTAAATCTGACTTCTCTACCTTTTAGACTGCACAATAATGCCTAATGCATAATAGTCCCTGCATGTTAAACCAATCAGGTTCTGCTGATCTGATTTTTGATGACAGTGTGAGCAGGAGTCACAGGAGGAGCCGTGGAGCAGCTGAGGTATCTGCCCCAGGGCAGTTACGGCAGCTCCAGTCACAGCTGTGCCTCTGTCTGTGTCTGTGCTTGTGTCTGTCAACACTGCCCTCTGCGTCACCTCACACTCTCTGTTCACTCTGTTTGAATCAAGACACTACAAAGAGGGAGAGCACCCAAGCAGCAATATGACGACAATGAATCTCTTGTTTTGTTTTATTTTTTCGCATTATTTTGAAAACAGTATTCATACAATGCAGCAGGGATGTGATAAAAAGTGTCTATAAGGCCTAGAGGTGTGTATTACAATGAGTCTCGTGATACGATACGCATCACGATATGCCTGCCACGATTCAATATATCCCGATATATCCTGATACTAAAACAAAGGACGATATACTGTGACCTAGCAATAATTATGTACAATATTTTGGTTGAGTACACATTCACTAGAACAAAATTGAACGAAATACAGTTTATTTAGTTTTTAAATCATGAGAACTTTAAATTGAACTGACAAATTTTTCATGAAAAACATGACACATTCAGACACAGTTTGAATCGATATAAGAATCGTGCAGTGAAGTATCGTGATATATCACTGAATCAATATTTTCTTACACCCCTAATAAGGCCCTATCCACACTAGTCGTATTCAAGTTGTTTTCGTTGTGGATGCAGTGTTCGTTCACACTAATCCCATGGAAAACAGATCCAGAGACGGAACGATCTGGTGCCTCCAGCTCCCACGAATTCATCTGAGTACAGATCTGATCCGGCACCGTGTGAACACCTGAAAACACTGATACTCTAACTAGGGATGGGCATTCGATGAAATTTTCTTAATCGATCGTCGGAAAAATTAACGATCGATTATCGATTAATCATTAATGTTTTTATATTAAAACTGATCATCATTATTATTACTATCTGCACTACTGATCTGCATAAATAAATTCAACTTTACGACATATAAACCGTAACGACTCTAGAGACACATCAGCCCGTTTGACATTATAATGTGTTTAATTCAGTTTTGTGCAACTCTCACAGAAACAAAACTTAAATTGCTAATTTGCATAAACTAAGCGAAGATAAAACTACAGCTCTTGTGTCGCTGATGCGGTCAGTTTCTGTTGGATTAAAAGACATGACTCAGGTGAATACAGGTTAGTGTGACCAGATTTGCGTTTGTCAAAACCAGGACACCGTACGGGGGGAGGGAGGTGGGGATTTGTCATCAACACTGAGCGACTCTCACCGGGTAAAACTTTTTCCCACTGGACACCGAAACATATGTGCTGCTTTATACACTGTGCACATGGACTCACACTTGTCCCGAACGCAACGGAAAGTGTGGAATTTCTTGTACAAGTCGTCGTTAAATATGCATTTGCGTTTCGTTACGTTGCAGACTGACCGACTGTTTGTGTCTCGCTCCTTCTGAGTGCAGAGAGACACATGTACACACCTGTTTGGTCACACTACACACAGCAACCATTCAGTTTGTCGATTAAAATGAACGTAATCGATGAAATTCTTAATGATCAATTATCAATTAATCGACTAATCATGCCCATCCCTAACTCTGACATAGGAGCTCTAGCTGCTGTCCTTTTTGGACCACGTCACTGTGACTTCTGCCTTCCTGATTCGCTGGGTTTGTGACATCGGTCATGTGACGCTATTGCGGAAAACAGTTTAAACAAACCACAGACAAATGTGAAACAGCGGAGCTCGAACTAGAAAGACTCTTTTCACGCTTGACATCATCCTCAGCTCGAAATCGGCTGCTGCAACTTCAGACACGGTGCTCCACTTCCTTGTTTTTACCGCCCATGTGACGTCGTGACATCGTGACATTTAGTTTATTTAGTTTAGTTTATTTATTTAATGAGACAGGGACAGTACACAATCTACATTAACCTTAGTAGGAGAGATGCATTGTACCAGGTTGTAACACCAGTGCTAATTTCCACCTGTCGTCCCTGGGCAGGTTGATGTTATAGCTCATAAAATCAAAACATACAAAGAGAATGTGTTTATAATGTCCAGAGCATCATAACAATTCTGTATCATCATTCACTCCCATCATGACGACGTGATGTAACTAGGGTTTCAGGCAGTCTCGTGTTACTGTGTGGATAGGAAAGGCTTTGATTGCAGACACAGAAATGACGTGTCTGGATGCAAATCGTTTCCAATATGGTGATGGTGATTTGTTTCATTGTAAACGTGTCTATAAAAGTCTTGGTTAAGGTTCAAGTCTAGCACTAAACATAAATAGACTGTAAAATTTACCACAAAGAGACAGAAACAACAGTATGCACCAGAACTACTACAACCACACTACAGCATCTGGAATTCTCAGCGGTTTGTCTCCACTTCCACCAATACAAGATGTTTAAACCTCTATATAGAACAGAACGAAATAGAAAATCTGATGTTCTTCCTTCTCCACATAAACACAATCCAAGCTATGACCAGTGTTGGGGAGTAACAGATTACAAGTAACTGTATTCAGTTACAGTTATTGTTTCAGTGAGTGGTAATTGGATTACAGTTACTTGGTTGAAATAAATGGATTACACAGAGGTATTTTCCTGTTTTCACTAAAACTAGGACTAAACCAGCTCCAAACCAGGACTAAAACCAGGTCTAAACCAGCTCCAAACCAGGTCTAAACTAGGTCTAAAACCAGGTCTAAACCAGGTCTAAACCAGGTCTAAACCAGGACTAAATCCAGGTCCAAACCAGGTCTAAAACAAGGTCTAAACCAGGTCTAAACCAGGTCTAAACCAGGACTAAACCAGGTCCAAACCAGGTCTAAGCCAGGTCTAAAACCAGGTCTGAACCAGGTCTAAACCAGGTCTAATCCAGATCTAAACCAGGACTAAACCCAGGTCCAAACCAGGACTAAACCAGGACTAAACCAGGACTAAACCAGGACTAAAACCAGGTCTAAACCCAGGTCCAAACTAGGACTAAGCCAGGACTAAACCAGGTCTAAACCAAGACTAAACCACTAAACTAAATCATGCTGCCTGGACCATGTCTCCTCCTCTTCTATCAATAATATTTTTAATTTGGTTCAGTAAAGTCTGGGCTTTTAATTTTCTTTTATCAGACAAAACTTCTTATGTGAAGATTTCCTCGTTGTTTCTCTACAGCAAATCAAGTAATCCAAAGTATTCAGATTACGTTACTCACTTTAAGTAATTTAATGGATTACGTTACAAACTACATTTTGGAGTACGTTATCTGTAATCTGTAGGGGAATACATTTTAAAAGTCACCTTCCCAACACTGACTATGACCCCACAAAACACAGACAAACTTGTGCATTTTCTTTAACACGTTACAAAAAAACAACTTGATCCTCACCATTTCAAACCGTTATAAGAAAACAGTGCATCAAACGAGCAAACGCACCTCACAAAAGCAATTCAAAACAGTGAAGATTCAAAAAACAAACCTTAAATACATGACAGACTATGGAAATTCACAGCAACAAACCAAAAAGTACAAGAGTCTATGAAAAGTTCTATGTAAAAACCAATGTATTCTGATTATTCTTATAAGCAGGTGACGTGCAGATGTTACGGTCCTTACCTGAGATCTCCTCCAGGCACTGTTTGGCGGTTTTGCTGTAGACCAGATCTCCTTTGGTGGGACTGAGGCAGGGGTCCACGGGGGCCACCATCGTACAGTCATTCTCCGAGAACGTCCTGAAACACAAATCAAAACAAACATTATTTACTGAGGCAGAGTGGAGAGCTTTCCGAGTTAGGAGAATTTTCATCTTATCAATTACGGTAACTGGAGTAAACCAGGCGTAAAGGACACTCGGACACACAAAACTACTGTAAAACTCAGACCTGCAAACTCTTCAGAGAAAGAAAGGTGAGCTTTAATTCTGATTAAAAATAATTTAATTCAGAATACAAAATAATTCTGCTTTAAAAAGACCATGCAAACACTTAATTCCTAATGATTACTCAAAATTAAAATTCAATCCGAATTAAGAAGGTGATTTATTCAGATTATAAAGCCAAATTAATTTATTCCGCAATCATGTAAATCATCCTGTAAAAAATAATTCTGGTCTTTCAGCGCATCCACGTTGGCTCGCCCTTCTGATGCGATGACACACAAGATGGCGGTAATGTAATTGCGAAACGTACCAATGTTGCCCGTTAACACCGTGGGCCGTCCTCATCCCAAGTTATTATCAGGAACTCATAAAACAGCAGCACGTTCATGTCCCTGTCCAATCAGAACCTTTCCCGACCCCCAGACGTTGAGCGGAATTAAACAAAGCCAATTTAACTTGTTTTCCATGTAAACCTTGACTCGGAATTATTATTTTCATGTAAACCTCAAGTATAATTTACTTCTAAACTAGAGCAAAGCCAAACCCCTCCCTCAAACCAGCAGATTTATCCAAAACCACTAGGGCTGTAACAATAAACTAAATATTGTGATATCGTATCGTCAAAGTTTTCACAATAATATCGTGAACCATCACAATATATCGAATTACAAGTGTCTTTGCTTAAATTAAAAGTTGCAGTGCAGCAATAGTAAAAAAAATAATAATAATAAAAGACACAAGGAACTACATAGACCATGATCCTTTGCTCCATTTCAGTGCAGATTACAAGAAGAAATAACAGTTCTAACTAGGGATGGGCATTCGATGAAATTTTCTTAATCGATCGTCGGAAGAATTGACGATCGATTATCGATTAATCATTAACGTTTTTATATTAAAATGATCATCATTATTATTACTATCTGCACTACTAATCTGCATAAATAAATTCAACTTTACGACATATAAACCGTAACGAAGCTAGAGCCACATCAATCCATTTGACATTATAATGTGTTTAATTAAGTTTTGCGCAACTTTCACAGAAACGAAACTTAAAACCGCATCGCTAATTTGCATAAACTAAGCGAAGATAAAACTACAGCTCTTGTGCTGATGCGGTCAATTTCTGTTGGATTAAAAGACATGACTCAGGTGAATACAGGTTAGTATGACCAGATTTGCGTTTGTCAAAACCAGGACACCGTACGGGGGGAGGGAGGTGGGGACTCGTCATCCACATTGAGCGACTCTCACCTGGTAAAACTTTTTCCCACTGGACACAGAAACATATGTGCTGCTTTATACACTGTGCACATGGACTCACACTTGTCCCGACCGGAATGGAAAGCATGAAATTTCTTATACAAGTCATCGTTAAATACACATTTAAATACGCATTCGGTACGATGCAGACTGACTGAATGTTTCTGTTTGTGTCTCGCTCCTTCTGAGTGCAGAGAGACACATGTACGGACCCCCATTTGGTCACGCTATGCACAGCAACCTACATTCGGTTTGTCGATTAAAATGAACGTAATCTTAATGATCAATTATCGATTAATCATGCCAATCCCTACTGAGTACTTAACAATTTTCCTTAGTTACACACTCATTTCCCCAAGTTTATTATTACCACTACAAACCGGGGATGCCTCAATTTTTGCTTTTTAAAATCTGGAGCAGGAAAAGCCAAAAAAAAAAAAAAGAAAAAAAGAAAGTTAGCATGTATAGTTAGCATATAAGCTAGCGCCAGTTAGCATACATGTTTGAATCAATAAAACAATCTCAAAATGCAACTTGGATGAATAAAACATGGTCCTACACTTACATTTGTTTGTATATTGTAAATGACATCAAGCGTGTGCACTAAACCCACCTGTGAGCGCAGGTAAAACACTTCTGTTTAGTATTGGGCTCATTGCATTTACAGTACACAGATCAGACTGAATGAGGCTTTTCACAGCGCCATTACTGACACCTACTGGCGCCGTGTGGTATTACACCTTTAATTCAACATTTAAATCCTCAGGTAAAAATAAGAAACTGCAACACAAACTAGAGAATCAACCAAAATAAAATAATAAATAATAAAATAATAATTAAAAGAGCAGAACACAATTATAATGTACTGAAAAATTGTTGGGGTATGCCTTTTTATACCTTTATGTAAGAAATAATACTCCCTACAACTGTACAAATCACCCTTATGTAACAGATAATACTCCCTACAACTGTATGACAATTCACCCATGTGTAACAGATAATACTCCCTACAACTGTACAAATTGCCCTTATGTAACAGATAATACTCCCTACAACTGTACAACAACTCACCCTGATGTAACAGATAATACTCCCTACAACTGTACAAATTGCCCTTATGTAACAGATAATACTCCCTACAACTGTACAACAACTCACCCTGATGTAACAGATAATACTCCCTACAACTGTACAAATTGCCCTTATGTAACAGATAATACTCCCTACAACTGTACAACAACTCACCTTTATGTAAAAGATAATACTCCCTACAAATGTACAACAACTCAGACTTATGTAACAGATAATACTCCCTACAACTGTATGACAATTCACCCTTGTGTAACAGATAATACTCCCTACAACTGTACAATTCATTGTTATGTAACAGATAATACTCCCCACAACTGTGCAAAAACTCACCCTTATGTAACAGATAATACTCCCTACAACTGTACAAGTCACCCTTATGTAAAAGATAATACTCCCTACAACTGTACAACAACTCAACCTTATGCAACAGATAATACTCCCTACAACTGTACAACAAGTCACCTTTATGTAACAGATAATACTCCCTACAATTGTACAACAACTCACCCTTATGTAACAGATAATACTCCCTACAACTGTATAACAAATCATCCTCATGTAACAGATAATACTCCCTACAACTGTACAAATCATCTTTATGTAACAGATAATACTCCCTACAACTGTACAACAACTCATCCTTATGTAACAGATAATACTCCCTACAACTGTACAACAACTCACCCTTATGTTAGAGATAATACTCCCTACAACTGTACAACAACTCAACCTTATGCAACAGATAATACTCCCTACAACTGTACAACAAGTCACCTTTATGTAACAGATAATACTCCCTACAACTGTACAACAAGTCACCCTTATGTAACAGATAATACTCCCTACAATTGTACAACAACTCACCCTTATGTAACAGATAATACTCCCTACAACTGTATAACAAATCATCCTCATGTAACAGATAATACTCCCTACAAGTGTACAAATCATCTTTATGTAACAGATAATACTCCCTACAACTGTACAACAACTCATCCTTATGTAACAGATAATACTCCCTACAACTGTGCAACAACTCAACCTTATGCAACAGATAATACTCCCTACAACTGTACAACAAGTCACCCTTATGTAACAGATAATACTCCCTACAACTGTATGACAATTCACCCTTGTGTAACAGATAGTACTCCCTACAACTGTACAATTCATTGTTATGGAACAGATAATACTCCCGACAAGTGTACAACAACTCACCTTTATGTAACAGATAATACTCCCTACAACTGTACAACAAGTCACCCTTATGTTAGAGATAATACTCCCTACAAGTGTACAACAACTCACCCTGATGTAACAGATAATACTCCCTACAACTGTATAACAAATCATCCTCATGTAACAGATAATACTCCCTACAACTGTACAAATCATCTTTATGTAACAGATAATACTCCCTACAACTGTACAACAACTCACCCTTATGTAACAGATAATACTCCCTACAACTGTACAACAACTCACCCTTATGTTAGAGATAATACTCCCTACAAGTGTACAACAACTCACCCTGATGTAACAGATAATACTCCCTACAACTATACAAATCATTTTTATGTAACAGATAATACTCCCTACAACTGTACAACTGACAGGGGGCAGTGCAGTGACTTGTTTGCCCTTTAGGACTAAGCTTATAAATAATCCATTACCATTATAATAGGTATTTGTGACCAAAAATGAATAAATACAGTGTTTTTATTTACAGAAGTGTGAGTGTGGGTGTGTAAGTTGAGTTTAATTCTGTTTGTATCCTCCATAAGTCTCCCTGAAGAGCTGACAGCCTCCTCTCACCTCTCACTATCATCACAACAAACACCAGGAAAATACAGTTTCGTGACTTCGGACGGACAAATATTGAAATAATATGTGTTTACTCTTTATATTTCTCTCTGCCCTTGTCTATAACAGGAACATAAAAACAGTCCTACGCTCTCGGGGGGAACCAACACCTGCACAAACTACAAACCTGCACCAAAACTGACCAAATATTTAAAATCACACTTTTCACTGGTTTGAGGAATTAAAATGTTTGTGTTTCATATGAACTTTGCACAAGAGTTAATTAAAAAAAAGAAAATAAACCTCTCAAGTACATAACATAAAGGCGCCAGAATATTTTGACTCAAAAAGAAAAATCATGTTATTAACATTAATGTTGTTCATAATCACCAAGAGAACAGGACTAAACCAGGACTGAACCAGAACTGAACTAGTTCTAAAACAGGACTAAACCAGGTTTAAACTAGGACTAAACCAGGATTAAACCAGGACTAAACCGGGACTAAACCAGGACTAAACCAGGTCTAAACCAGAACTAAACTAGGATTAAACCAGGACTAAAACAGGACTAAACCAGAATTAAACCAGGATTAAACTAGGACTGAACCAGGACTAAACCAGGACTGAACAAGGACTAAACCAGGACTAAACCGGGACTAAACCAGGACTAAACCAGGTCTAAACCAGGTCTAA